GAATTTGATCTCATGGTTCTAGTCGTATGTGCGTCTGATCTCATGGTGCTCTATTCTACAATATTTGAAGCATGGGATATTGACCCACTGATTGTAGGAACATCGTTCTCTACATTTTGCACGCAGTCTCCAAGGCCCATGCCATCCATGTCTCTCGTATATGTTATTTCACATTATTTTGTGTAGGAGTTGTGATAGAAGGACAGGGTGAAGTTGTATGTGTAGGAGTCTTACTCACTGAAACTCTCTCATCAAAGAGCTTAAAAACCAAGTCCTCAATGGTAAATCTCATGGTAGATCCAACTTTCATTCCATGGTCCTTCTTAAAGTGATCAATCAACATATACTTGATACCATGCCGCTTTGAGCTAATCTCAGCCAACAACCCCTGTGCAAGAGTAGTATGAGGAACTATCCATTTACTTGATTTCTGTGCTAATTGAATATGATCTGTATGTGTCTTCAATGGTGGAGAACTAATGTGTGTCAGCTCAGGGGTGCCTCAGTAGTAGCTGTTGGAATAAGAGCCATGGAAGTAATATTTGGAGAAGTGGGCAGCTCGATAGGAGCGTTTGGAGTAGGCTCAGCAACTGAATGGATATACGGAGGTACCTCTAGATCAACTATGATAGGAGTAGAGGTAGGAACTGTCAGTGTAGATACTGACTCTGTCACAACTGCGATAGTAATAGTTGGAAGCACCAAAGGCACTGTTGAAACTGGTACCCACTGTTTCCTTGGCTCTACAAACGTCACCTTGTCTTTACCCTTGTCAGTCCTAGTTATAGGGAGATGTATAACAACTATAGGGGGAGGAAGAAGAGGAATCGAAGTATACTGATAATAAGAATGACCCAAGTGTTTACAAGAGAAGCAAAAAATCGATCACTTCTCATAAATAACTGTCTACCTGAAGCCATGATTACCAGTGCGTTCAATCCAAACCCTGTCAGGCAACTTATGCCCCAAATTCACCTCAATGCACACCCTTGCCTCACTAGGTCGTCTCAAGTCGGAGGTGGCCTCATTGATCCTCAAGGGTATTCCTGTTGCCCTAGATAAAGCAAAAAGGAACCCCTTAGTATGTAAATGTACTGGAAGCAGAGGGAAAGATACCCATACGGGAACTATCGGAGTCTCTTGCTCAGGTGTAAGGTCACATGTCCACTTAAGTACTCTCATTGGACACCCATCAATATACCATAAAGGTTTAAGAAAAAGTCTCTTGTAATCCTCCTCATGTGTAAGATGTATAAGTATGTGTGTTGTGTCAATCAATGCCACCTCAAAGCAACCATGGAATCCAAACTTAGAAAATATCTAACGTACCTTCCTCGCGGTGGGCTTACGATGTAAATTTCCCTACAAGTATATACTTGTAAGGATCAGAAAGTGTAGCCTTTTCTGACTCAATTAAAACCACGGCCGGCTCACCCATGTGTATAAAGGGTTCTTCTGGCAACAAACGCAGCAGTGAAAGAGTCATCTGTACCCTGCATAACCTATGCAAAAGGCTTTTGTGAACTCCGCTCAACTTGAGAAAGGTCTGTACGGTCGAAAACTGTAGTAGCATAGGTTTTGGGACCCTGGTTGAGCACTGTCTAGGCTTCATGTGGGAAAATCGATGGTAAAAGTGGATTTGGATTAATTGGATGAATATTCTGGTCAAAAGTTGTCGAAAGGCCACTGGAACGCTGCCGGCCGACCACTAGCAGCTCCATTTTTCGGCCAAAATCAACCGGAGGTAGAAAATTATGATTTTCACCAGTCTTGTGCTGAATTTCATGCTGAACAACATGTTAGGCACATTTCTCAAGGTGAGGACTGTAGAGGCCAAAAATTGCAATTTTTGGACAAACTGTCTGTTTACGTTGGTGCCATAACGGGTGTGTCTGACCTCCAATTGCCGTGATTTATTGACTTAAGGTTCAACATTTTATGTGCATTTTGAATATCTGGCATGTGTAGCTGTTGGAGGTTCGTCCGAGAAATAATTCCAAAATCAGTTTCGGGCTGCACTTTTTCCGAAGTTTCAATTCCGGCAAAATTGGACGTTGAGGACACCATCATGGTGGTTTTCAGGCCTTTTGAGTTCATTGGCGATGGTCCCATATCCAAATTCCGATCAGTATTTGGTGTTTCAACTAAATTGGGATTCAAGCCATGATTTTTCAATTTCAGATCTACTGAGCTAGAAGCTGAATCTGATGTTGGGGTTATGGGAGATGTATGGGAGGTTGTTGGAGATGATTTTTCATCACTTGGAGCGCTACAATTTGGTGGTTTTGGTGGTGGATCTAGTGTGTTAGAGTTTTGGTATTTTTCTCCCATTCTAAGATAAGGGAGAGTGTTTTAGGCTGGGTTTAGGGTTTAGGTTCTTTTTTTCTTTTTTCTTTTTGTGGAAGGAGGACAGTACCTCCGTAAGTTTTATTAATATGTCCTCAATTGTGTCGGAGGAATATCGTGGTTACATGTAGAAAAAAGAAAATCAAGAAATGAGGAAGTACTACTTCACTTACAAAGAAAGTAAATGATATTGGACAAATGTAAAGTAATAAATGAGGAAGTACTACTTTCCTCACAAAAGGAACTAAAGTAACTAAAGAGTAATAAAAAATTAAATTCTAATGTTGGGCATTCCCTATTAGTTAATCTGTACGAGTGCCCTAATAGGTCAAGGTAGGTCAAGTGGTCCATATACCTGGTAACATCGATAATCCCATCCCTCGACAGTAAGAGCATCTGTAACCTGGTTACCCTCTTTGTAGATGTGCGAAACTGTATCTTTGTCGAAGGATATAATGTCTGTGATTTGTCCGAGTATGCCCCAAATTTCTGGTGATATAGTGGCTGGCTGTAGTAGAGTCCGACTCTATCTAAATGCCTGATAGTCCAAGTCCTATAGCCAATAGAACCCCATCCAGTACAGCTCCGATCTCGACCTCCAGAATCAAACATGGGCCGTATGATGCTAAGAATGCCCTGATGCAGTGTCCAGTATAATCCCTAATGATACCCTCACCACTAGTAAATCCGTCCTTGATGCATCCATCGACATTAATCTTACATGATCCCACCGATGGAGTATGCCAAACAATAATAGTAGGTGGTGGTGGAGAAGGCAGAGTCATAGAAATGCCAAAGAGTGATACAAGCGTAAAGTCCCCTTGCTAGTGCACAGCTCTAAAGAGTCCTCCCATATAAAGAAAAGAGATAGTTCGATAGACCCTCCAAATGATATGTCTGGCTACCATACGGATCCCTCTGTGTTTCGCATCATTCCTCTCGATCCATAAAAACCAGAATACCAGTAAAGGAATAATAGTTCGAATGTGTCCTCTGCTAACGTACAGTTCAGAATACCTCCATCTCTAGAACCTCTGTCTGACCCCCTTTCCTGATCTCATAGGTATCTAAAAGATGTCCCCAAAGTGTTCCCATACCTGAAAAGAGATGTTGCTGTCAGTGAAGATATGACTGATGTTCTCAATCTCAGAGTAGCACTGACATCGAAAAGCTAAGTGATAACCAATCCTCCTTTCAATAACCACATCTACTAGAATGAGATCTTGCCATAGTTTCCAACAGAAGAATGAAATAGTGGTAGGCAAGATAGAGCTACACAGTAATCGATACGTGTCCTGAGATTGGCGAGCCGAGCGAACTAGCTACCATGCTGATTTGGTAGTAAAGCTACCATCCGATGTGGCCCTCCAAACGATGCGGTCGGGGACATCAACATATAAAGGTATCACCTTTATCTGCTCTACCGTGTGAGGGGGAAGAGCTTATAATAATCTTGCAAAGTCTCACCCAGTGCCATAAAAGAAGTCCTACACCGTCGCAGATATGTGCTGCCTATGTGGGAAAAGGGATGCCAGTGTGAACTCACCCATCCAATCGTCATGCCAGAAGAAAATCTGATTGGCTCCAAGGTGCCAACCAATGTGTGGATCTGTTTGTGGCCCTACTGATTTCAGCCTCTTCCAGGTGGGAGAAGCTGATCATGAAACTGTTGCAAGTGAAGGGTATGCTCTTATGCAATACTTGCCCAATAAGAATTGGGTCCAAAGTGGTCTCTAGGAATGGACCAACCACCAGAGTTTCATGAAGAAGGTATCCACCACATCCTGTAGTCTCCTAAAGCCCAGACCACCTCATTCGTAGGAAGGTAAATCTCCTTCCAACTCCTCCAATGCAAACGTCATGACTGATCCTTAGAATCCCATAGGAATCTGGCAAAGATGCTCTCAACTTTCTTCACGACAGCCTTAGGAGGCTGCAGGATCTGAAGAAGATGTACTGGTATAGAAGAAAGTACTGACTTCAGCAGAGTAATGTGATCCTCGGGTGATAATAAACGTGAGGCCCAGCCTTAGATCTTGTCCCTAATCTTCTGGATAAGGTCATCATAAATGAAGCTCTTCTTGGTCCCCATAAATAAAGGGACCCCCAAATAAGTAAAAGGTTGTCACTGGTGTTGAAATCTAGTCAAGATCTCCAAATGTCTAATATGACTAGTAGATGCTCGTCAGGTAGTATAAGTCCACTCTTATCCGTGTTTACCAGCTGGCCAAAAACTCCCTCATAATACTCCAGACAATCGAGAACCTTCTTGATAGACTATTTCTGACTGTTAGTGAATATTATCATATCATCAGCAAATGAAAGATGTGAGATAAGAGTACTACCTCCATGTTGATAACAGATGCTGGGAAACTCCTGAAATCTCTAAGTGAGCTAGCGAGAGAAGTAATCGACAGCAATAATGAATAGTGATGGCGAAATGGGATCACCGTGTCTGAGCCCCCGTGAAGAGAGGAAAAAACCATATGGTTGACCATTTATGAGCCCAGAGAAATGACACTCTGAAATGCAACGCTTGTTCCTGTCAATCCAGATATGGTTAAATCAAATGCCTCCAATACAGAATAGATGAAGCCCCAATGCGTACGATCATATGCCTTAGCCATGTCTGGCTTTAGCATAGTGTTACTCCCTCACACTCGATCATCCAACATATGGAAGAGCTCCTGCACCAATAAGATATTGTCCCCTATCAATCTATCGAGGATAAAACCACTCTGCTGATGAGAGACAATGCATGGTAGCAAGGTACTCAACCGAGTATTCAAAAGCTTAGTAATAAGCTTGTTGAACACCGTACATAAACTGGTGGATCCAAAATCGATCCATCTATATGTACTATCCTTCTTTGAGAGTAAGACAATAATAGTAGTAAAAAAACCTCGAGAAAAGTGACCACCGTCAAAGAAATCCAATACTGCCCTGTAAACATCCTCCTGAATAATATCCCAACAATGCTGGAAGAATAAAGCTGAGAAACCATTTGGGCCCGCTACACTGTTAGTATCCATGCCAAAGATCATCTCCGTATCTCATGAATCGAAGGGGGACGATTAAGTTCCATATTATCATCCACTGTTAAAAGCCTGGGAATGATATTAGAACGGATGGGGTCCAAAGACTGTGGTGGAGTAGATAGAAGGTTCTAGTAGTATGCCATAATTGAAGTTTGAATATTAGTCGGAGAAGTTAAAACTTTTCCTGCCTGTGTCCTAATAGACCTAATACGCGATTTGATCTTGCGACCTTGAACCATCGCATAGAAATATCGAGTATTGTGATCTCCTTCATAAACCCAACGTGAATTGGCCTTTTGCTTCCAAAAACCCTCCTTAATAGATAAGGTCCGGTTCAAAACTGCCTGAGCATGATATAGTAAGTTGTGGTGCTCCGGTGTGGGGTCTCTATTGTATAGTATCTTAGCCTCATCAACCCCCACCTTAGCATCTTGTACCCGCTGGAAAATATCTCCAAATACATGTCGGTTCCACTACCGTAATCCCTGTTTTAGCCTAAAAAACTTTTCCCAAAGAGCGTCATCCCTGTGAGATGAGTAGGGAGTGACCACTTCTGGGAGACAAATGCTAAAAAGTCATGATGCTTGGTCCAGACATTGAGGAATCTGAATGGTCTAGGCCCCAAATCATCATCAGAAACCTACTGAAGTAGTAAAGGAGAATGATCAAATGAAGTCCATTCAAGTGTCTTACTATAAGTTATCGACAGAAAGCTACAGTTGTACAATTAATCAGAACCCTATCCAGTCTCTTTCTGACCCTACCACTGGTCCAATTATATCGGTTTCCAAAGAAACTCGCACCCTCTAAACTATAGTCTAACATCATATCAGAGAAAGCAGTAGTGTCTCGATCACGAGTATTATAACCAGTGCGCTCTCCATCATGTGTAATAACATTAAAGTCTCCTCCAACTAGCCAAGGATCGTCTATATCAAGGTAGATGTGGTGAAGTCCCACCCACAAATCCATCCTAAGAGAAGAATCACATAAAGTATAGACAGGAGTCAAATAGATGGGACGAGCTAGTCTGGGGTCCTCAACTCTAGCGTGAAAGAACTGGGGATGATCAACAATAACAGTAACACTAGTCCTCGAATTCCAGAAAATCCAGATTTTATTTGATTCATTCTGAGCTCCCGTGTTAAAGCACAGATATCTTTGAATGTATACAAAATTGTGCCGAAGAAAAAAAAGCTCCAGTATAACCAAAAGATAAACCTGATGAAGTTGTATGAGTTTCTTCAGGCGCTAACGAGTAGCTACACTAGCTACACCTCTCACATTCTAAATGATGGCACTCATAGGGATGGGGAATGTGAGGGTGTATCATGTGACTGACTCCTAGTGATCCTCCTACTCGGGAATGGAGTGTTAGTAACTTGTGGATGTCACTTCCGAATGACTGGGACAAATCCATCATCCTCTGTCCTCTCAATTAAATCAACCAAGTTATCAAAGAAGATCTATGGAAAGGTCCCTGCTGATGAACCTTAATTTGAGATGAACCCTCTGTATCTGATTGAGCTAACTTTATAGAAAGAATAGATGCCTCCACATTTTGAAGACAAATGGGAAGAGAAGAAGTAGAACTAGGTACTCGAACCCTATCCGGTGTCAGACATAGAATGTGAGTAGCTATGGTGACAATGTCCTCTGAATAATCAAATATCTATGGCCGTGGAAAGATATCATCTAACATAGGATCATAGAATGGAGTGCAAGATGGACTGATAACTGAAGCCGAAGGCGGAGTAGATGTAGCAGAAACTGGGGGCTGTACTATCCCGATCTGAGGAGATGGTAGTAATGTATCTGGTGGTGCAATAGAAACAGACGCCACCCCTAGTAGAGTAGTAGCAATTGAAGTGTTAGCAGTAGGTAGTACCGAATCAGTTCGAGAAGCTACTGTACTGATAGCTGGTAGAGTGGTAACAATAGTAGGACCATTGGAAGACCAACTGATTGATTCTAAATAAGGGTCTACTGAGCAACTGTGTTAATAATTGCTGGGGCTGTAACTGGAGGATGAACTACAGAAGGAGCAATTGGCTGAGATTTCGTATGTGTGGAAGGCACAACTGTAGGATTAATAGTGGTAGCTGTTGGTGGTACAGAGGAGTCCCCTGAAGTGCTGGCATAGTGCTATCTCATCTGATCTCTCCTAACTGGTGTCCATCTCTGACGAGGCTCTACAATTACCTCTTTTTCCTTACCCTTGTCCTTGGCCATTTGAAGAGGCCTAGGAACTGGGTTATTGGGAGGTAGTGGTGAAGCAGGGCGTGATCCAATCATATGATTCTCATTAGAGTGCCCAAAATGTCTACATCGAAAACAGAAATTAGGTATCTTGTCATACACAACAGTTTGCCAGTATCCACCCCTCTTCTCTCTCTCAGTCCATATCCTATCAGGGAGCTTAAAATCAAGATCAACCTCAATACATACTTGTGCCTCACTAGGATGTTGTAAATCAGTAGTAGCTTCATCAACACGGAGCGGAAGTCCAGTAGCCTTGGATATAGTAAACAAACTACTCTTTGCCTTGAAGTGGATGGGAAGTAGTGGAAATGAAACCCAAATAGGGACAATCATGCTGAGGGCTGAAGCTAGGTGTCCATTTGGTCACTCATATGGGACACTCGTCAATGTACTAGGTGGGCTTAAGAAATAAGCAAGAATAATCGTCCTCGTGTGCCAAGTGAATCAACATATGATAAGCATCAGTGCTTGTTTGGTAGGGATTTTGTTAATTTATTTTTTGATCGTTAGAGATAAAATGGGTCTTACCTGTGAGAGAAAAATTTAAAAATGACGGCTAGAATAGTGAAATAATGGTCAAAAAATTGATGTTAATTTTATTAAAATTCGGACCAAACATGCTTTCTTTCGATCTTATAATATAATCACCATGAAATCCAAAACATAAAAAACTATCATGTACCTTGATCATAGAAGGCTTGCAATGAGAGAATTTCCTAACAAGTGTGAACTTGTACAGTGCAGAAAGGTGTTCCTCTTTCTCCTCTATAAATAAGGCAACCAGCTCACCATTATGCATGAATGGGTCTTTAGAGACCAATCTATAATCAGTGGAGTCTTGTAGGGCCTGAAGAGTCGGTGCAAAGGACTTTTTGTGGTTTTGTTCGGCTTGAGATATAATGGTTTTCCTTGATAGTGTAGCAACATATGATTTTCGAGCCTGATTGGGCACTTTAGGGGTCTCGGTTGGCAAATCCATTGATGGAATTGTGCGTAGATTAACTGGGGCTACATTCTGCCCAGAAAGTGCAGAAGTGATGGTGGCTCACGAACCTCTGATATCTAAATTTGATGAAATTTCACAGGTTAGTATAGAATTAGATGTTGATCATAGCGGACATGCACGTTTGGCTGGATGGTGATCAGACTGGCCGAAATTCCAATTTTTCCGATTGACTGGACGAACACTGATTCCTCGATATCGGGCGCGTCCAGGCACTGTTTCGACTGAAGTTTCAGGCAAGTGGTCGAAATTCCATGGGCTTCATGATGATCAGGCACATGTAGTGTATTGAGCACTGTACTGGAAGTAATTGCGTGGATAGTTTGTGGCGGCTCGAATTTCAATGTCGCGACTTCTGTCGAATTGGGCGATGGTATTACCACCCCAGGGTTTTTGGGCCTTCTTATTTCATTGGCAGTCGCTCCATTCTGAAATTTTGAGCAGAAGTGGTCGAAACAACTTTATTGAGATGTGTGCCACTCATTTTTTCACTTGGATCTGATCTGATTTCTTCAAATACTGCTATTGGGTGATGAACATGCATCATAGATATTGTAAGGAGTTTGTTACCGCTTGTTGTAGTGGTGGCTTCTGGTGGTTTTGGTAGTGGGTCGAGGGTGTTCTTAATTTTTCTATTATTTCCCGTTCTAGAGGGAAGAGAGAGGATTTGGAGGTAGAGAGAGAAAGTGAAGAGGTTTAGGGTTTAGGATTATTTTTTTAATTCAATTCATCTCTTATATAATGAAAAACGAGAATACATATAGAGGAGAGAGGCATAGAACTGACTCCAGCAAATGTAAATTGCAACAAATATCTTAAGATGAAATGCAATCACAATAAACTAGACATGAACAAAAACTAGTTAAAGCTACTCAAGGGTGTTCCCGAGGGTAAATCTTCGGGTGGTAGTACATAGATATTGATCGGGTCATGCGTCTAGTCTGAAACTTTTCTAGATCATAGTAGTTTGCATTGTCTGGCTCGATCGTTGGAGAGGGGTCTCGCCTACATGAAGGCGCTTGCTTAGGTGAAAAGTACTGTTCAGATGGTGGTGCACTAAATGTCAGGAAAAAAGTGGATGCATCTAATCTCATGGTGCTAGTCGCAGGTGCGTCTGATCTCATGGTGCTCTGTGCTACAACATCTGAAGTATGGGAGATTGACCTGTTGATTGTAGGGACATCATCCTCAGTCTCAGTATTTTGCACGTAGTCTCCAATGCCCATGCCATCCATGTCTCTTAGTATATGTTCTTTCACCTTATTTTGTGTAGGAGCTATAATAGAAGGACCAGGTGAAAGTGTATGTGAAGGAGTCTTACTCACAGAAGGTCTCTCACAAAGAGCTTAAAAACCAATTCCTCAATAGCAAACCTCATGGTAGATCCAACTTTCATTATATTATCCTTCTTAAAGTGATCAATCAAGATATGCTTGACACCATGTCGTCCTGAGCTGATCTCAGCCAACAACCCTTGTGCAAGAGTGGTATGAGGAACTGTCCTTGTACTTGATCCCTGTGCTGACTGAGTACCATTTGTGTGTGTCTTCAATGGTAGAGAATTGATATGTGTCAGTTCAGGGGGCACATCAGTAGTAACTGTGGGAATAGGAGCTATGGAAGTATAAATAGGAGAAGTGGGTACCTCAATAGGAGCATTTGGAGTAGGCTCAGCAACTAAATGAATATATGGAGGTACCTCTAGATCAATTGTGATAGGAGTAGAGGTAGGAACTGCCAG